CTACAGTGCCACTGCTACACTAGTACACCACTGTTCCACAACAGTACTAAACTAGTCCTACAGCATTACTACTGACGCACTCCAGTTCGATGGTATTAATACTACATCCGGGTACGACAGCAGTGGGTTATTTCTACTACAGCCATACAGTGCGACTACTAAACCTTTTGCTAGGGTATGGTAATTACTGCCAGACCTGAGTATTACCGGCTACTACTACTACTACTACTACTACTACTACTACTACTACTACTACTCCTACTCCTACTCCTACTCCTACTCCTACTCCTACTCCTACTCCTACTCCTACTCCTACTCCTACTCCTACTCCTACTCCTACTCCTCCTGCTACTACTACTACTACTAATACTACTACTACTACTACTACTGCCACGACTACTGCGACGACTACTACTAGTAGTACTACCACTACCACGACTACTACTACTACGACTACTACTACTACTACTACTACTACTACTACTACTACTACTACTACTACTACTACTAGTACGAGTACCAGTACCAGTACCAGTACTAGTACTAGTACTACTACTACTACTACTACTACTACTACTACTACTACGACGACGACGACGACGACGACGACGACGACGACGACGGCTACTATTACAGCTTCTAATATCTCTACTACTTCTACTACTTCTACGACTACTACTATTACTACGACTACGACTACGACTACTACTACTACTACTACTACTACTACTACTACTTCTACTACTACTACGGCGACTACTACTAGTACTACTACCACTACTACTATTACTACTACTACTAAGACAACAACTACTACTACCACTACCACCACTACCACTACCACTACCACTACCACTACCACCACCATTACTACTACTACTACTACTACTACTACTACTACTACTACTACTACTACTACTACTATTACTACTACTACTACTACTACTACTACTACTACTACTACTACTACTACTACTACTACTACTACTTTTAGTATTACCACGACTACTAATACTACTACTTATTGGATGACTACTACGCTGCCACCTCACTGATACAATACTTCTATGGCTGGGCACGGAAGTCTAATACCACTAGTACAGTCCTAGAGCAGCACTATAGGAGCACGACTGCTACAGCACTGTGCTACGACTGTTGCAGTGCCACCGCTACAGCACTACAGTACCAGACTACAACAATAGCGCGGGGTGCGGCATGAGGAGGGAAGAGGGGCGCGAGGAGAAGGTGGGGGGGGGGAGCGTGGGAGGACAGGGCCCCTCCCTTCCATCCCCGTTGCTGCTGGCGCCTGGGGGGGGGGGGCAAACAAAGAAACAACTTTTTTTTTTTTTTTTTTTTTTTTTTTTTTTAGCAAAGACGTGTTTTTTGTTGTTGTTGTTGTTGTTGTTTGTTGTTGTTGTTGTTTTTGCCCCCCCCCCCCCTTCTCCTCCTCCTCCTCTTCCTCCTCCTCCTCCTCCTCTGCCTTCTCCTCCTCCGCCTCCTCCTCCTCCGCTTCCACCTCCTCCTCCTCCTCCTCCGCCTCCTCCTCCTGGGGAAGGGAGGAAGAAAGAGAGAGAAAGAGAGAGAGAGGGGAGCGCGAGAAGAAAGAGGGCGGAGGATGATATAATGAAATGGTGAGTTTCGCAGGGGGGGGAGTCGACCCCTAACCCCCCCCCTCCTCCTCCTCCTTATTCCCCCGTCCCTGGTGGGGGACCGAACGCGCTCTTCTTTCGCGAGATACCACCGAAGAGCTCCTCCTTCCCCTCAAGGGCGGATACATATGGCACGCCTTTTTGACAGAGTGGTTGCGTGGCGCTTGCGGGTGGTCAGGACCTCGAAAGTACGTAGTCAGTCAGATGCGCAATCAACCAGATGCAACGCGTTTGAAAAAAACACCGGGCACATCGGATCAGCACAAGGAAGCTCACGCGATTCACTTGATGTGCCACTTGTTTTTCCCTGTATTTCACCTCGGAAAGTTGAAAGCGGGAGCAGGGCGGCGCTCGGGCTGAAAATATACCAGGCGGCTCTGCATCTCGATCAGCACCGGACAAGATCGCAGCAAAACGATATTTGAGCGAAGCCGCTCCGCTGGGCGCCATCTCCAACAACATCTAACAACGAATGTCTCCCGTCTCTCGGAGGCCTACTGTCAGGAACTCTTACTAAACGTGTCGCGGCAACGTCCCCAGCGTCACGCTGTGCCCTGCGAGCTGATAGCGTGTCGCTCCGTTTCGCGGAGCGGAAGGCTCGACAAAGCTCGGGACATGGACGCCTGGGGAACTGGACGTGGTTAGCGTGTAGCGCCGAAGCGTGGTGGGCCAAAAGCCAGCGGAGCGACACGCTGGCCAACAGTTTCCGGCCGTGGAGTGGTCTTGCTGAAAGAAGGGGGCATCAGAGAACCCGACTGCGACGGGGCTCGCTCCTGGAGCTCAGGCGAACCTTCTAAAATGGAAGACCCCCACGGGAAACTCCCACCTCTGAGCTGCCCTTCCTTGCTGGGCGGGATGCTGCGGGCTGGCCGGCGACGTCCGAGCCGCTGGGAGTGCGAATTGCTTGCGGGCTCACAAGGTGCCGTCCCCGGTTGTGTGACATCCTTCCTCTCTGCTCGCTGGTGGGCGTGGCCAACGCTGCCGCAAGAGTGGGAGAGAGGTACCAACGCCTAGAAATGATCGAAAGAAACATCGATTCTCATACCCCCGACGTCACGATTTTGTTCATAACGTCGGCCCCCAGAGGTCTCGACTCATTCCCCAGGACCGGCTTGTTATCCTGACACGGTTTTCAACGGCCCCGAGGCCCAGGAAGGAAAGGCCCCCAGAGGCCAACACATTGGGACACGCCTCCCGTCGTGGCTTGTTCATGGCTCGAGCGGGTCTGGGTCGCCTCTGACGCCCTCTGGTGCCCTGCCCCGGGCCCCAGGACCGTCGGAAGACGACTCGTCAGCACCGAGGAAGCGCTCGGGGGGCCGCATGTTTTGAGCAGGGACCGACCGTCCCGGCATTCCTATAGTCATGCCACGAAATGTTCGAAGAACCCCAAAACCGTCCAAGAACGAAAACACAGTTCTTGGGACAGAAACCCGATGTGCTAAAACCAGACAATCTGAAACAGACATGTTCTGAGAACATCTCGTGGAAACCACAAAAAAGGTTCTCAGAACATTGCTCGGTAGGGCTATAGGCGAGCCAGGACGCTTCGCCGCTGCTTCTGCATGGTTGACAGCAGCAGGGCGCCAGATTGGGCGCCCGAGTTATCCGGGGTAACTCGGGTCCGGGGTAACTCGGGTTTGGATTCCCGAAAAAGGAACCCGAGTTAGCCCTGACCCGAGTTACCCCTGATGATTCGGGGCTCTGGACGCCCGAGTTATCCGGGGTAACTCGGGTCCGGGGTAACTCGGGTTTCGGGTTCCCGAAAAAGGAACCCGAGTTATCCCTGACCCGAGTTACCCCTGATGACTCGGGGCTCTGACCAGAGGTCTCGCGCGCACCCGCGGGCGCGCGCCCTCCCGGCCCCCCCCCCCGCCCCAGACCCGCTCCGTGGCGCTTCCCTGGCCGGCGGGGCGGAGCCTGCCGTGGCCACGAGCCGCGAGAGAGCCCCCCCCCGGAGGCCCGAGCCCTCCTCGATCCTCGGCGCTCCACCTCCTCCACGATCCGCCTCCTCTGCGATCCTCCGGCCCCTCCGCGATCCTCCACCGCCTCCGCGATCCACCCCCTTCTCCATGTTCCTCCGCCTCCTCCGCGAGCCTCCTCCTCGGCGATCCCCCGAACCCCTCGGCGATCCTCCGCCCCTTCAGCGATCCTCCTCCTCCTCCGCGATCCTCCTCCGCGATCCTCCTCCTCTTCCTCTTCCTCCTCCTCCTCCTCCTCCTCCTCCTCCTCCTCCTCCTCCTCCTCGATCCGCCATCCTCTCCGCGCTCCTCGATCCGCGACGTCGGCGTCTCGGCCCTCCGCCGAGGCCGGCGGGCCCCGAGGAGGGGCGGCGCCCCCCCCCCCCCCCCCCCCCCCTCCGCGGGCGCAGTCGGGCCCCGAGGGGGGCCGCCGGCCGGGACCCTTCCACGGCCCGGCCTCGTCCAGTGCGGGGCCCCTGCGGTCGTGAGGCGAAGCCAGGACGAGGATAACGTCGTGCACAGGGCAGTTTTTAGCACGTAAGATTTTTTAACATAGGATGTTTGATACATGACTAAGTTAAGAATAAATGTATGCATGAACGCACCGTGGTTTTTAATGCTAAATCCCAACATGTTTGATACATGTTCCGCACGCGGAGCGGAGCATGTGTTAAAAACGGCACTGTAGGGATGAATCGAGAATCTGAGATCCCGCGGGTCTGGAGAATGCATCGGGCGTCGCGGCCTTCTCCGAGCGCTGCGGAGCGCTCTCAGAGCGTTCCTGGGCGCTCTGGAACGGATTTATCCTCGTCCTAGCTCCGTCCGAAATAACTGTGGTTGGGAACTTTTGCTGAGCGTGTCTCGGCGGCGGCCCCGGACAGCTTCGCAGCGACACGATCTCTGAGACAAGCCGCTCCGCTGGGCACTAACTCCAACAACGAACGTCTCCCGCCTCTCGGAGGCCTAGGGTCAGAAACTCTTGCTAGGCGTGCCGCGGAGGCGGCTCCGGCGACACGCTGTCCCCTGCAACTGGATGGCGTTCCGCTCCGCTCCGCGGGGCGGGAGGCTCGGAAAGTCTCGGGACGTTCACGCCTGGGGCCCCAGAAGTGCGTGTCGCTCCGAAGCGTGGTGGGCGAGAACTGGCGGGGCGACACGCCATCCAAAAGTTCCCAACCGCAAGGGGGTCCGGGACGCCCGAAAGTCGAGCAAACCATTCCCAACGCCCGACGTCCCGATGTGTTGAGCCCCCAGATGCCGAAGACGGCCGAAAGCCTTCCGTCGGGGCAGGAGGAGGAGGAGGAGGAGGAGGAGGAGGAGGAGGAGGAGGAGGAGGAGGAGGAGGAGGAGGAGGATTTTCAACATCGACAACCACGACGCCAACGATCTGGCGGACTCAGATGAGCAAGCTCAACCTGCACAACTCCATGAAGCAGTGGGAGATGCCGTAATCATCGGTGAGGACGTTTACCACGGCGTTGTGGCCCTCCGCAGGAGCTAGCACTGCCGCCCACCTCGCAGTCCCAGTCTGGGACACGAGCACTGCCAGGAGCGAAGACGAACTTGTCCTCCGTCGACTTCTCGGCGGAGGCGAACCTCATCGCGAAGATCCCCACGGGTGCCAGGGCATTCGAGCATGATGCCGACGCCGCCACGGGCTCCGAGGGCTCCTTCTTCACGATACTCTCATCGAAACCGTCACGAACCGACGCCTTCCAGAACTCGCCGACCTCGCCGAGGATCTTGCACTCCGTCGACTCACCTGCGGAGGCGGCCTCGGCGATGGCACCTGGAAGCCGTGGCCCCTTTAGGGGGGGCGAGGCCATCCGCGAAGGCGAAGGACGGGAAACCCTTGGTATGACGAGGTCATTGGCACCCGTCCCCACGAGGGCCACCACCTCGAGCTCCAGGGGCGCCTCGGGCTTGAACCTCAGGCCCTCGAAGCACTTCACCTCATCCTTGAACTCCAGGAGTGCTTGGTCCGCCTTCTCCTGGTACTGCAGGTCCTCCTCGTCAAGGTCGTTCACGTTGCTCTCGGCTTCGTCGAACTCCTTGAACTCCAGGAGCGCCTGGTCGACCTGGTACTGCATGTCCTCTGCGGCAAGGCCGTTCATGGTGCACTCAGCCTCGGTGCCTTCGCCCTCCTCGTTCATCTCCTTGAAGCCTATCACGTCGGCAACGTCCGTCGGGATCGTGACGTCAAGGGCGTCGAGTAGGACATCGACATGCTGGTACTGCAGGTCCTGCGTGGCAAGGCCGTGCATGGTGCTCACGGCCTCGGTGCCATCAAACACGATATCCGTCAACCACGCGCGGAACTCCTCCACCACCACGACGTCGACAGCGCGGGGAACGGCTGGGAAAGACGGCAGGCCAGGAGGTGCCTGGTGCTTCGCCCAATTCCCGCTGGCCAGCTTCTCCGCGTAATCGTCGAGCTCAGCCGTGGGCAGGCCGAGCAACTTCGCAGCCTTGAGGGTGTCCGCCATGCCTGTCAGGTGCCCGCCCAGCTGGTCGCCCAAGCTCCAGTGCGCCGACAGGGCGGTCCTGAACAGCTTGCAACGCGTTGCGAGGGCTTGCGCACGGGTCTCGCCGATGCGAAGCCTCGCCTGGCGCCGGAGCCGCCTCGCGAGGGTGCGGGCGGAAGCCGCAGCCCATTGGCGGCCCGGCGACATGCGGCCGCTTGCGCGCCTGCGCCTGGCACAGGCGCGCTGGCGAGGGCCTCCCGAAGCACGGCTCACTTGAGCCAAAATGGCTACGGACGAGGAGGAGGAGGAGGAGGAGGAGGAGGAGGAGGAGGAGGAGGAGGAGGAGGAGGGGAGGGGGAGGGGGAGGGGGAGGAGGAGGAGGAGGAGGAGGAGGGGAGGAGGAGGAGGAGGAGGAGGAGGAGGAGGAGGAGGAGGAGGAGGAGGAGGAGGAGGAGGAGGAGGAGGAGGAGGAGGAGGAGGAGGAGGAGGAGGAGGGGGGGGGAGGAGGAGGGGCCGCCGCGCGCGCGCGATCGCAGGAGCACGTCCTTCGCCTCCTTGACGTCGAGCCGGCGGTCGCGCAGGAACCACCACAGGAGGCCGTCGTCGGCTATGGCGGAGTGGCCGCGCCATCTGCGGGGAGGGGGGGGGGGAAGGGGATCTCCTTCTGCTTTCCCTCCTCCTCCCCCTCCTCCGAGTCCGCCGCCCTTCTGCCCCCCGCTCCGCCCTTTTCTCTGTCTGTTCGCCTCCTCCTCCTCCTCCTCCTCGTCCCCTCTGTCTCGACGCGCTCGGACGTTTTGTTTTCGTCGTCGTCGTCTTTTCCTTTCTCCTCATCATCCTCTTCCTCCTCCTCATCCTATTCCTCCCCCTCCTTCTCCTCCCTGCTCTTGGCGTACTCGGACGTTTAGGTGTCGTCGTCGTCGCCGTCCTCCTCCTCTTCCTCTCTCTTCCTCCTCCCTTCTTTTTCCTCCTCCCGCTGCGTCCTCCGTATCCGCCATCCTGGGTCCTCCCCCTCCCTCCCTGAGAAAGGATATTGCTCGAAGGGACAGTGCTTCCCAAGAGCTAGAGCATTTAGAGGGAGGTCTCCTCAAAAGGTTACTCCCTGACCAAGTCTGGGCAGCCCCTACGTTGTTGGTTTGGCCGTTGTTGGTTTGGCAAAGGGCCCCCCGTCTTCCACCTGCTAAATCTTGCCCTCGACCCCCGAGTCTCGATGAGGGGGACTTCAGGCCACCTTTTGGTAATTAGGTCGCTGGCCCATCCGTGGCCTCTGGCGGCCTCCTGGGACCTCGGATCCAGGGACGCCCCGGGGGGCCAGGACCCAGGGCGGCACGCGAACGCACCGCCTCCACTCCCAGGGGTGCGAAGGCCCCGAGTCTCCCAGACGTGCGACGCCATGACGATACTGTACTGGGGGGAACAGAGCTGGGGGATAGCAAAGGGCAGGTCAGAGAATCAGCTCACGCAGAGCTGATTTTCCCAGCGCCTCCCGGCGCCGGGAGGCGCCCGTGTATCGAGGAATGGGCCCGGCGGCGGGGCCGAAAGCAGCTGCACGCAGCAGCAGATTTCGTACCCCCCCTTTCCCTATCCCCCCTTTTTTCGTTCGGCCCGACTGTAGCCACGTGGGCCCCAGAGCTCCTGGCCCCACCTCACGAAGTGGTTCTTCGCCGCGGGCAGCTCTGCGCGGCCCCCGGGGGCCCAGATCCCTCCCACCCGCCCACCCCCCGCGGCAAAAGGGCGCGGCGACGTTCCCCGACATCCTGGCGTTCCTGCAGTAGCGACCCTCATCAATGATCGAGGGGCCCAGAGGCCTGAGGAGCAGAGGCTGGATGCCAAGGCTGCAGTGCTGCTGGCTCCTGGTGCTCTCCCCGCGGCGCCGCGCGCCTCGCTCCTCTCACCCGCCCTCCCGCCCCCGCCTCGTCCTGCCGCCGCCGCTGCGCAGCATGCTGCCGCCCGCCTTGCCGCTGCCCCTGCTGCCGCTCCGCACACCCATCACGGGGACCACGCCCCATGCGGTCAGTTTTTTTTTGTTTTTGTTGTTTTTTTGTTTTTTGTTTTTTTATGCGGTCAGGGACTTCTGGATAGCGCGTCGCCGCGGCGGCCTGGGCGACACGCCATCCCCTGCGAGCGGGCGGACCGCGTGTCGCTCCGCTCCGCGGGGCGGAGTGCTCGGAAGGGCTCGGGGCGTTGGCGCCCGGGGACCTGGCAGTGGCTAGCGTGTCGCGCCGAAGCGCAGTTGGTCAGAACCGGTGGAGCGACACGCTATCCAGAAGCTTTCGACAATATTGAGCTCCACCTGCGGCCCCAGCGAGCGCGTTGCTATGCCAGCCCCGCCGCAACTCGGCACACCCCTCACGGGGATCGCGACCAGTAAGGAGCGCCAACCTACGGCCCAAGAGGGGGAGCTTCTATACCGTCCAAACAGCACGCCCCCCAGTTGGATCAACCCCTACGGGAAGCTCCGACCACCTACGGTGGCTCAAGAAAGCCTTCCCGGAGCCTTAGAGTCAGCCTTAGAGTCCAATCGAACCAATATGAAGAATAACAAGTTGCAGAAACATAAACTGTCAGAGCTTCGCGCGGATTTCTTGGATCGGCGCTGGGCCCAACCTCCCTGGCGCGCGGAGCGCGCCAGGGGCGGCGCCGGAGGCGCCACCAGCGGGGGGCCAGCGCCGACTCAAGAAACCCGCATGGACCTCCGAAAATGAATGGCTATGCCATTCTTCTGGGGGGGCGAAAGTGTACCAATCCCGCTACTCGCTGGACCTCTCCCAGGTTGTTTTGTGACCCGAATTTCGAGGAGGATCCATCCGTGGCGACGATCGCTCTCCAGGACGAGCAGCGGTATCGACACCTTCTCCGCCTCTGACTCTGGTTCCTTCGGCTACCCTATCGGGCCCAACTTCGAGCCCACGAGGGTCGCTTACCTTTTTTTGTTGCGCGAAGCCTCGTCGGCCGCGACGCGCGCAGTCACTGCCCCTGCCCTGCGCTCAGCTCAACTCGCCGGCCTTCGGCGACAGCAGCGGGTCCACCACCCTCGAGGCCGCGCCGTCCTTTGGCCCCCCGTCGCCGCCTCCTCCGCCCCCTCCGCCTCCGTTTCCGCCTCCTCCGCCTCCGCTTCCTCCTCCTCCTCCTCCTCCTCCTCCTCCTCCTCCTCCTCCTCCTCCTCCAGTCAATCGCCAACGAGTGCAACACACAAGGAATTCTTTGTACACCCGCCGCAGGCTCGCCTGACAACGGGCAACCGCGCCAGGGTCGCCGAGAAGCAGTTGACTGCACAACTTCCTTTGGTTCCCTTTGTGGTCCAGGACTGGGTATGGCCACTCTTTCGGGCACCCCTGGTCCAGTCCGTCTCCAGCATTTCGGCGCGTGGTTGGCTATCCTGTTCAGGACCTGCCACAACCAACCACACGGGGCAGGCCGACGCTGTCACGAACGACCCCTCTGTTTCCGACTGTGCGAAAACACCACGCGTACTTCTTGAATGCAAAGATACACTGTGTCTGGCTGTATTTTGGGACTCCTTCGTACACACCAAAATTTCAAGAAAATGTCAAGCCAGGCTCTGAAAACCTGCTGTTTTGGCCTTCGCAGAAGGGAGGAAACAACTGCCCCCTCTTTCGTGACACCGCTGGCAACCGCAGCTAAGCCGGGCGACTGCCCTCTTTTCCATGGGCGGACTCTAACCGCGGCCCACGGGTGTGAGCCACCAGGCCCCTGCGTTAGGCGCTCGTGGATAATCAGAACGCGCCTGCGAAGCCCCCTTTCTTGGTAAAACCACCATTGCTACCTCTCTGACTGTTGGGAAAAAGGCCGCACCACCGAAGACGAGCTCCTGGAGAGACTTTCGGCTGATAACCAGTCACTCGCCAAGCATATCCATGCGAGTGCAACACACAAGGCATTCTGTGTACACCCGCCTCAGGCTCGCCTGACACGGGACAACCGCGCCAGGGCCGCCGAGAAGCAGTTGACTGCGCAACTTCCTTTGGTTCCGTTTCTGGTCTAGGACTGAGTCTGCCCACTCTTTCGGGCACCCCTGGTCCAGTCAGTCTCCAGCGTTTCGGCGTGTGGTTGGCTATCCTCTTCAGGACCTGCCACAACCAACCACACGTGTCAGGCCGACGCTGTCACGAACGACGCCTCTGTTTCCGACTGTGCGAAAACACCACGCGTACCTCTTGAATGCAAAGATACTCTGTGTCTGGCTGTATTCTGGGACTCCTTCATGCACACCAAAGTTGCCAGAAGATATCAAGCCAGGCTCTGAGAACCTGCTGTTTTGGCCTTCGAAGAAAGGAGGGAACAACTCCTCCTCCTCCTCCTCCTCCTCCTCCTCCTCCTCCTCCGCCTCCGCCTCCTCCGCCTCCGCTTCCTCCTCCTCCGCTTCCTCCTCCTCCTCCTCCTACATCCTACCCAGATCTCCGACGATATGAGCTGTGGATGCCGTCGCTGCTCCTGGACGTTCGGGCCCGAGGGCCACCCAGAACGGATACAGGACGAAGAACTACCCCGAGGAACAGGTCAGGACCTCTCGGGCCACGGGTTGCGACAATCATGCCGTCGGATGCTGGATTGAAGAAACATGCCGTCGGTTCTCCTCCTCCTCTAGGGGCTACTCAGCCCGATTGGGGGGCCACTCAGCCGGAGCAGGCCAGATTAAGCCCTACACTTAACCAGACTAAACTTTTAATTGAGCGGAATGACGCGGGACGGTGCCAGATTAAGGCAATTTCGACCACGGGTACACTAGCGCCGATGCCCAGTGTAACCTCCCAAGGGTTGCGCCGTAATCGTCCTACTCCCGCCTCTAGCTTCGAGGGTCAAGAAGTTTCAACGTCTTCGACCACTTCGGGGCCTCTGGAAGTATCTGGCGGCCGACTCCCGCTCGTTCTCCCCTGCTCCCTCCTCCCTCGCTCTCTCATGCTCCTCCGTGTCATCATCCAGGGGAGCCTACTGGGCACTGCTCGCGCTCAGGTGCAATCAGTATCAACATCGCTACAACCACCATCACCATCACCATCACCATCACCATCACCATCACCATCACCATCACCATCACCATCACTATCACCATCACTATCATCAGCATCATCATCATCATCATCATCAGCATCAGCATCACCATCATCATCATAACCATTGCCATCATTATCCAAATCACCATCACCATCATCATCAGGGCCCTCGTTCTCGTCGTCGTCATCATCACC